AACGTTGCAAAAGGAACGCCAGAGGAAAACCATTTGTAAGCAGCGCGATTACCTGCCTCACTCAGAAATCGTGTTGGCAGCAGCTGATAAGAGGAAGGAAGGATGAGTCTGCATTTGCAATACAAGCCCGAGACACACGACATCTAGGCTTTGCTCCTGCCTGTGCTGTCTGTGACCCCAAACAGCCTTCCAGAGACACTGCACTCCCTCATCTGGAATCGAGAAGTCCATCAAGCCGCACAGGCAGTGCCTGGGAGGCACACGCTGAGCTGGGAGACCCTCACACCACTCTGAATGCTGATCAGGTCATGGCCTCTGGTTGCTGCTGGTACTCGAGGTGACAGGGCATCCCAGTGAAGATGACCTGCCCCAAAGAAATGTGCCAAGGAAGAGCCTGGCTCCTTCCTCACCTTCTTAAACGGATACATGGCCACTTCCAGCTTCCGGGCTGCCTCTTCCCAGGGGATTTCCTGCTGCCAGGTTATGTCTTCGAACACAAACTGAATGGGCTCCCCTGAGGGATCCCTGCTGTCAATCACATTTCCGTTCTCATCGTGGATCACAGAGGGGATTGAAGGCCCTGTCGATTCCAGCTCCATCTGCAGGAGAACAGGCTGAGTCAGACATTGCAGGCATCCCACTCCTGGTTTTTCTGTACTCCAGGACAGGATAAAGACGCAAAGTAAGACTGCACATCTTCTAACAAAGATACAGCTTGATCTATTGCCTCCTGGAGCTGCACTTTACCAGTTGCAGATGTGTTTTATTGGGGAATAGCAGGAAAACAACCTAATTTCCTTCAGTTACTGTCTGCCTGTGCTCGCTAGATTGGAAACGCCTCTTCACTCCATGTTCCCACCTTCCCAGTGCAGATTTTCGACTCTGGGATACCAGATCCTTAAAATCACTGGGACCTGCAGCGCTAGTCTGAAGCTCTTGCCCAGATCAAGCAGAGCCCTCACACAGCCCGTGGCTAACCACGAGAGGGTGCAACAGGGAAAGCTGTTCAGGAACTTCCCTGTAGTTCAGTACTCTGGTACGTCTGAAATGATTTTGTCTCTTTTCCTGACTTTTGGCAATTAAAAAGAAACATGTATCTAGTTTAGGAGAAAATGGGACTGTTAAAACCAGGCATTCAAAATCCTGACTTATGTTTTCTGTCCCAAGAGATGGGATTACCACAGAAGAGAGGAATAACCTTAGGCAGTTTCTAAATTCAGACACGCTGTTGCTCATACACCCCTCTGGGCTCAGGGTCTGGGTTCAGGACCTGGGTTCAGCTCCTAATCTCCCCTCCCACCTGTCAGACAACTTTTTAAAAATGGAAGAAGTCACTTGACTCCAGGAGCTTAGGATTCAACCCACACAGCAGGGTCAAAAACCAAACCACCACAAGAACTGGCAATAGGGGACCACGTTGCTGCAGGGGATACGCACAGGTCAACAGAGATGATATTGTTATACTGAAATGTTCAAGAGAAACAGGGATAACTGAAGTTGTACAGCTCAGGGCCATGGCAGCATAAATCCCTGCTGAGATGCTGCACTGAGAGCGACTACCGACCTGAGGCAGATAACCTATATCCACTTCCATGTTGCTGCTTTCACTCGCCCCGTAGAGCCACTCCATATCAACGTTCAGAGACCTGCAAGGCGAACCCGATACGTTCAGAGTCATCGAAGGCTAAAGCTGTGTATGGGAAACCTCAAACAAGTAAGAACATCCAATGCCTCTCTCGCAGGGGCAGCACTGAAGCCCAGAGCCTCTGGCTCCTTGGAGATCACCGCGTTTCCCTGCACAAGACCAGCAACACCAGATCTCTGCTGGATCATGGCCCAGGCACCCACCCAACACTCTGGGCAAACGCCCTCACACCTTTAAGTACTGTCAAAGTAAGGAAGAGAGAGGTGTCTTTGCTCCCGCTTCCTTCCCAGCACTTAACTTGCATATTCTGATCCTGCTGAAATGGTTTTTTGGAAGCAAAAGGCTTTTGTACAGGGTTACTGGCAGAGCTGTAAGTGTCTGCTTGCTGTAACAAATGTGCTGACAGAGCCACAGGGATTGAGTCGCCAGGGTAATGTTATAATAGAATTTTCACTTCAGCCGTCATGGGCAAAGAGATTTGAAGCTTCTTTCTCCTGAAACGCTTCCAGCTGCTTGCCAGAGAGCAGGAATAAGCTAGCGAGGAGATATGCAGACAAAACCTTAACCTGTGAAACACCAAGCAAAAAATATGTGGAAGCAAGAGCATCAGGCTTTGCCGAACTTTGGTGCTCTAAGCCAGGCACTGGGATTGCCAGGGGCTGCTCCCCACACCCTGCCCGTCTCTCCCCATCTTCCAAGTACCAAGGGACAGTTACCCTGAAATGGGTCAGGGATCCTCAGCAACTAGGAGAGATGCATTTGCCAGTTTTACAGGCAACTGCAGAGCAAAATTCACTCAGCTTTTCCAGGAACTTGGCTGAAAAGCATGAGCTAATCCATCACAGACACCCAAGGAGCCTTCTGCAGCTTGCAACAGGTATCTGACGTCTGCGAGAGTCCCTGCCAACAGCTGGGGGCTGCTGGGACAGGCCAAGGGGAGCAGGGCTTGCAGCAGTGCTGCTAACGAAGAAGTTGATGCCTGCCTCTGGGGCAGTATCAAGACAACTTTAATTCCTCATCCCTGTGTGTCTTCCCATGTGCCTGCAGGTACCTCCCTCTAAAGTGGCTTGGCACAAGACAGCTCAAGCTTGGACGTTCAGTCGAAGCACGTGCCAGCTGCAGCCAGGCTGTGCAAGGACATCCATCCCCAAGCCCACGCTACACGTCCCCAGCAACCTGTGCCCTGCCTCTCCCTTGTCCCTCCTCTGTCCTTGTCATTCCCTGCCTCTTCCAAGCCAGATGCCCCCCAGACCTGCTGATAAACAGAGCTGTTCCTGAGAAATTGCACCAGAACCAGCTTAGAGAGCAACTGTATCTAGAGAATCGAGGACACGATGACCGTGATGACCGCTGGCAGAGGAGGATGTGTGAGGAAAACAGATAAGCAAAGAGCAGAACTAGCCTGCCCAAAGCTCAGACTGCAGATCTGCCCTCCCCACACGGGCCAGGATGCCCACACACTGCAAGGGAAGTGGCTGTCACTGCACTCCTATCTTCATAAGAAAAGAGCCCACCAGCCTGCCCCCACGCACAGCCCCCAGTTCTGCATGGGACAGGATCCCAGAGCCCCTGGGTTCCACTGGGCTTAACTTACAGCAATCCCCAAGTCTGTTCAGCACCCAGGAAGAGAGAGAAACAGCTGTACCTGTTGTTGGGGACGAAGAGCTTAAACTCTCGGACATGGGAAGAATCCTTGGAGAGGATGATGTGACCTGTGAACTGGCCTGGGGAAAACCAGAAAGGGAAGTCTGGTGGCTCGTTCAGCTGGAACTCAGCATGGATCCTGAAACGAGAAAGGAGCCATCAGCTGCAGTGCCGGGAGGAGAGAATGGATCATGCATTGCAGATGACAGCAGGCAGAAGCTATCTCCAGGCACCAGAAATTATGAAGCTAAATTGGGGCAGAGGTTCAGTTCAAAAAGATTTTCATGTCACGCAATGAAGAGGGTAAAAGACTGGGGCAGATCCCCTGGGTCAGGATCATCTCCGACACTGATGCCTTTTGGAACTAGGCAGTAAGTGTCCATCTAGGAAGGATGAATTACATTATCATTCATTGAAACAAGGAACAGACTAAGACCCACTCAGGCACCCTTTCAGCTTGATCAGGCAAATAAAAGCTGCATGTAACACTCCCACTAAAACAAAACAATTCCCCAGACTGTCCCCCTCGGAAAGGCGCTCCACCCCCCAGTTCACCAAAATCTAACAAATTTCTTGCTAATCAGACTCACCCCTTTCAGCCAGGGATAGCTCCAAACCGATGGTGATGGAGAAACGACTGCTGTCCTGCATCTGGGCAACAGTTCCTGCCTCACCAGGGACTCGGTTACACTGGGAGCAAAGGGGTCCTCTGTGCATCAGCAAAGCATCACCCACAGGCAAGAGCTGGCTGCGAACTACCCTCTTCCTCGAACTGCTTCACCTCCCTCCCAGCCAGGACACATCTGATCTTGCTTGGCAACACGACTGCACATGCAGTGACAGGCACACTCTCTGCCATGGCTCACAGCAGCCTTCTCCACTGCCCCGAGACACAGAACAAATTCAGAAGTCCCCCCAAGCCCTCCTCCAACACCCTGAACCCATGGCCTTACCTGAACGCTATGGTGTAGTAGAAGGTGCTGATGGCTTGAATGCAGGCCACAGCTCCTTGGGGAGCAAAGCGGGTTTTGACGAAGGGGCGTGGGTGGAACATGCTCAAAAGCTTGTGGATTATGATCTAGGG